TATATATATATATATACACACACATACACACACACACACACATATATATATATAAATATATATATCTATATATATATATATATATATATATATATATATATATATATATATATATATATATATACACACACACACACATATACATACACACACATACATAAATACACATACATACATACACACAAATACATATATTCATATATATGTATAAATAAAATGTGCATGGTGTTATTATTATTAACCAACAAGCAGTTTCCTTATGTGAACGAGTGAGAAATCCAGGTATCAGAATGAACAGAATAACTGGTCCAGTTATTACTAGAAATCTGATGGGAAAAATTTATTCTATTTTCATTATACTATTCTATTTTAGTATTTCTCTGTGGTTGTCACTATGGTTACGAACGTTATAGGCTAGCTGGGTCTGACCATCTCCCAAATGGTGCCCTAAACCCTACAGTCCTCCTCCAAGTTCGCACTTTAGGTGAAATGAAAAGATCTCTCTCAAAAGTCTGTCAGGGTGCATGAATAAATAAATAAATAAATAAATAACCAAACAACATAAACAAAAATGCAGTTTCATACAGTATATTGTTCCACTATTACTGCATCAGTTTCAGTGACACTCATTAGTAAATATAGCCATCAATAGTAAACAATGACTGTATTTATGAGCATGGAGCGGAAGCCAGCTAAGCAAGATATAGGTAATAAACTAGATACAACATTAGTACTTCCTTTTTAATCCGGATTAATCTTGCATTTTTCACCATTTCCCACCTGACAGCATTTTACATTTCACACTTGTACTCAGATTCAGATGCTAATTTAGTCTTGTCAATCATGAACAGCCACTAGGAAAAGAAGGCTGCACATTCTGCCACATTAAAGAGGTCGCCAAGAGTCTTCCACGATGAGAATAAAAATATACTCGAATCTAAAATTAAATGTAGTTGCAATCATTTGATTTTTAAAATATGATTTTCACCTAATTCAACCAACAATCAAAAAGGTGCTTGTGTTGAGCAATCTCTACTCTACAAACATTAAGGGACATACCCGTACTCAAATGGTCTATCCCCAAACCAGTGTCTAATCTTCATAGGAATTGTGATGTAATATATATAAATATGTCTGCAGTAGCTACACCTCATCAAACTGTGTGAAACTGAGGACAGTTGATTTATTGTAACACGATATACAAGATCCTTAAAACTGAGGATTTTATTATTTGTTTCCATAATCCAAAAAAGTAATAGCAATGGTAAACTCATGAGAACTGTCAGCATGGGTAGAAAGTTTGAATTGATGTTCCAAATCCTGTTCCAATCTGGAATATCATTAAGGCACTACACAGCACAACACAAGAGACTTCTTCAATACCGCTGTAACAGTGTTAATATAAGGTTGTTCTAAAGAGTATATAGACCATACAGTTCTGCATCCTCATTGAAACTGCATCCAGATGGTGTTAAAGTAAAGAATACGGTCATTTTATTAGGCAAGTACTAATTTTCGTCATTTTATTAGGCAAGTACTATGAATAAACAGGAATGGAGAACATGGAGATACTAGATCATTCTTCAATGGCTCACAGCTCAGGAAGACTGGAATATATGAATATTGCAAAAAAAAAGTTGATTGAGAAATGCCACAATGTAGGGATTAATCACTCATTCAGATATGCATAACCTTATACTATACATCTAGACGTATTACACAAAATGCATGTTTTAATATAGAGAGTCAGATATTGGGATAGTACTTCTACACATAAAAAAAGACTATAAATGTGTGGTGATATAAATGCCTTGAGGTGAACATTACTATGACAAACAATTTATATGGCAGTAGGTAAAAATGAAATGTAGACAGCTTTATACTCCATAATTGGACCATACAGCTTGGACAGTTCTCATTCGAATACACCAATGGGCAGCAAACCAGGGGATTTGCCCTTCAGAAAAAAACACTGCATTTCTGTTTTAATAATGATTATTGCTTATCACTCATCCATCCTGGGTTAAGCAAAGTGAAATGTTAGAAAGTCTCTGCTTTTTGCTTCTGAGACTTTAATTACCAGTTAGTAGTGAGAGATGTGCAGTGCAGGCTTTATTGACGTGCTACGCGTTTAAAATCTTTTTTAATTAAGGATACTGACAAGGTGACCTATATCCAACAGTGATATAAAGTATTAAGCATGAAATAAGTGTCCAGCTGTTAAACATTGTTATATTGATGGTCATGCTTTTGTTCTTAATGTCTTCCATTTCAGAGTTATGAAATGGTCTTACAGTCTTACACTTACATACTGAAGTGTGATGTGGGATGTTAAAAAATTAATCTTATCTGGTGTTTGTCTTGGAATACTGGGCAGCACAATTAAACATATTTTAATCATAATTAATATTTTTGCCTGCCACAATTATGTATGAGCTTAGCTAAAGCATTTGTTGTTTGCACCTTATGCCGAGTCATTAACTCCTTTATTCATTGTAAGTCCTTTATTCATTTTAATATTATTCATATTTAAGTATAGTTAATGTTTGAACGATTAATGCTCAATTACTGTCAATAAGGTCTTATTTCGTTGCAAAGATTTACATGGTTAAAGTAATGCAGGCTCATAATATTCTTTAAGTGCTCCTCAATCTAATATCTAAATTGTAGGTGTAAATTCAGAAATATGCAGAAAATATAAAAAGGTAGCATGTCATTTGTCATCGAATATAAGGGGCATATTAAAATATTACATTACTACTGCGGTTATCTTAGACAGTCTTCTTCAGATTTCTTCAAACCCACCATCATTTCATTTTATTTCATGTTTTAAAACAGCCATCATTTATCCATGAATCCAATACAATAGAAACTAATTACTAGAACTGTAAATATTCATCCATCCCTATAATAATCGTATATGTACATCTCTCACATCAGGCTCCTGTTTAGCAAATAAAACTGCTTTTGATCAGGTGTAGGATGAGTTTTAAATATGATTTTTGTAATCAATTCAAGCTATACGGTATTAAATAAACGTCCAGAATATGCATGCAAATGACTGACGATAATAATTCAACTAGGATGATTAATAATAAATCATCTATAATAACAGGGGTTTACAATGTGAAACAAAGCTGCTCTTTTGGCCTCTGAAACCATAATGCTGCCAAATAAACAGGTTTTTTTGGGGGGAAAACCTGGCAGAAGTCCCAGTGCAATCAGAAGAGACAGCCAAAAGGAGTAGCCCAAACCAAACACCCACACACGCACAGAAATTCCACTCTGGTGTATTTTGTGAAGCAGTGGTTCTAGAAGAGCTGACATGAAATGAAATCTCTCAACAGTACAGACCAAATCATGATGAACAAAACAACCTTGACAAATCTGCAATATATTCACACTAAAGTATCAAGGTTCTTCTTTAGTGAAATTCTCTGGCTGGAGCCTAGAGACAGAAAAAAAAAACATGCCTCCCCACGGCATAATGAAAGCCATTCCATCTGAAAGGATTCAAAGCTACCGATGCTGAATAAAATCATTACATCTAAACCATTTTAATATTCAATGTCAACCCTTTGCTCAAAAACCCACATCAGCTATTGTTTTCTAAGGTGCGTTTTAAATTCTCAGGTTGTGAACACAACTAGAGCAAAGTAACATTTGGCCAAACTCAGTTTGTCACCATAACAGAAAGAGTCAACAGAAACTGTCCTATTACTCAGGAGAGTTCAAGTGTGATGCAGCGAATTAACCTTCACTCACCTCGTTATCACGCTCGATGTGCAGTCCTGTATCTCTCAGGTGGGTCTCGAACTCATCTCGGATCCTGAGTTTGTCACACTCGGCCGGATCGGTCTGTCCCATGTCCACCACGACCTCAGCATCGTCCTCCTTCACCACTTCAGCCTCTTTGCTCCCTGGCTGGGGAAAGCTCCCGTTCGAGATGACCGAGAGCCGGTGCTGTCCCGGAGAGTCCTGACCCACTGATGTTACCCGGTACACCAGCACATAGTCCACCTTCCTCTTCCCATCAGCAAAGTACAGCCCTTTGCCCGGCTCGTGCCCCATGCCGTCCAAGAAGTTGTTGACCACCTGAAACGGGTGGTAAAAGTGTAAATGCTGGTCCTCACTGTTTTGAGTGCATATCAAATTCACATCAGAGGGAAGCTAGGAGGGTGGGGGGCTCGTGCCGTGATCATAAGCATGGATGTAGGTCAGTATTGCTATTTCTAATTTAGCTGCTCTCAATAGACTCAAATATAGCCCGATAGAGGAGGAGAGCAGCACTGGTAGGGAACACCTTTCATTCAAGGTTGGATGCGTTAAAAGTCACCAACCTCATCACAGATCATTCAATACTATCCTTATACAGTCAAACTGAGCCAACGTGTTGAGTTAGTTACGAAAGAAACAGTACTTACGGGGAGCTTGTCAGTGTGTAGCATGTTCTTTGAGCTCTTAACGGAGACCACAGAGAAAGAAACACACAGCGAACTGAATCGCTCCTTCTTCCGCGCGACTAAACGCCTACTTTATTCAGAACGTGTCCACACCCTAATCACCTCGAAGAGACACGCCACTCGCCATCCTCGCTCGGCGTCAAATGAAAGCCTTCATTCTACACAAGAGAATCCCTCCCGAATGTAAATTTTTGGCACTGCTCGCCACTGACGAGGCTGACTAGGATGCGCGAGGCGAGGCGAGGCTCTCGCGCAACTACAGCATCTCCATAGAAACTTGTGATTCGTCACTCTCTTAATTCCAGACACACCTGTGCATCCTCAAGCACCGCGTTTCCAGATTAGGACGTTGCCCAAAAACACTGAGCTGTTTAAATCACATACGCCTGGAATATCGCATTGGGATGACAAATATAATTCGGCAAAGTTAGTGTAAGCTGGTTTATGGGGAATAGAACAGGTTTATAAACCGCCACTGGCTGAAAAGGTTCAATGGAAATGGAGCAGATGGGTGTAAATGACAGCTCATCACACTCAGACAGTGGTGGATCAATGGTTAAAGCTCTGGATTATTGATCAGAAGGTTAGGGGTTCAAGCCCCAGCACTGCCAAGATGTTACTGTTGGGCCCTTGAGCAAGGCCCTGAACCCTCTCTGCTCTGTCTGACCACAACTTCACAATAAATTGGATTATGTGGAAAAAAAGAATGTCACTGTAATTTATAGTTGATACATAAAGGCAGTGTTTATTATTGAACCCTTATAGGTTATTGATATTAGTCCATTTGACTATATTAGTCTATTGGTTGGGTTTCATCTAAACCACAATAACAACAAAAAAATTTGTATTTCATCAATAATATAAAAATAATGACTTTTTTTAAGAAGAGGTGTCAAAAATGATTTCAATAAGAAGCAAGTGAATGTAGCTCACCGAGTGTGAACTCTCCTCCATGTAGTCAAACGCATCAAGCCCCATTCCAGAAAGTTCTCTGGCTATGCTGAACAGTCTATCGCTGTGGATGGAGCTGGATTCACACTCAGCCACGTTCATGTTCAACTGATACGTTGCATTGTTCCTTGTTTCTGTACAGAAGAGAAATGCTTTTAATAGGCATCTAAAAGTTGAAAGCTTTATAAAAGATGATTTTGCTTGAGAGTGGAGGTTCAATTATTGAGCTTCGCTTTCAGCACCATGGATAGATACTCAATAATGAGGATCAGCAAACTGGAAATGTTTCACCAACCTACATAAAATGAGAATTATTTATCACTGAATAGTATAGAAATAGTAAACATTTAACATTTGTGAGAAGCAAGTATGTGTGTAGGAAACTTGTTATTCCTATTGCTTGATAAGTTAATAAGTTTTTCCACATACATAATATAAATATGTGGACAAACTGAAATTTTTGGATGATGTTTTTCTTTTTCATGCTGGGCCCAAAATTTATAGTCTTTAGTCCTCTGGTTTAAGTGTTAGAACACAGGATGGGTTGTAGACATGGTCTGCACTTCTACCGGGTTTGTGATAGAACCTAAAAAAATAAATTTAAATTAGAGACTTGATTAGAGTGCGACCCATTTTAAATATTTTAATCTTATTTGATTATTTGTTTTTGGAGCTCAGAAGGTCGAATGCAGTTAGAACAAAGCAACTGGCTATTACAAAATCAAAATGTGTGGAATGTCTTGAAAAAAGTTATTCCACTGAGTAAGCAGCTTGATATAGCGAAGTCATCCACAAATTACATAAACTTCATTAGAACTGTAGAGATATAAAAAATAAATAAATAAACAGAAAATAATTAGGTATATAATGAATATAATATGCAAAAGATCTGGTGAATCGCTATTCATCAAAAAGAAGACATCAAGAGGAGAAACATTTCTCATCAGCACCACAAAAGAAGTTTTCAATGACAAAAGAATACAAATCAGTTTTAGGGACACACAAAGTGAAGATAATCTATTATCAAAGTGAAGAAAAGGACACAGAGGGAGGGAGGGAGGTAGGGAGGGAGGGAGAGAGTAAACAAAGTGATTGGAAATTATCCAATATGCTATGCCTCATATGTGAAGAATGGTTGACAGCGTCATAGTTTGGTCATGCATGGCTGCTTATGTAACAGGCTCACCATATTTTATTAATGATGTAGCTGGTGATTATCATGCTGGAATGAATTATGAAGTCTATAGGATAAAATGCCCAAACATGGTGATTCTGCTTTAAATCCAGCTGATCCTACATTGTTGATGAAGACTCTGAAGTCAGAAATTCTAGAAAACAAGAAATGCATGAAGTAGACTGCCTAGTTAAGGCTTGGCTAAACAACTCAAGATGAAGATGTTACGAATCAGGCAGTGTTAATCATTACACGCTTGAGCCGTTAATAGCTTGTGGCATGTGTAACCAAATTCTTAAGCTCATCATTGCAAATGTAAAGATAATTATGCTTACTCTATTTATTTATTTATTTATTATTCATTCATTAACATTGAGGATTCTGCATTTATAATATATAACAAATTTGGCTGCTTACATCTGTTGCAGTTCATCACCTGTAATTTAATCTGTTGGTATGGATCCAGAAGTGTGCTACATTATCACTATTAGCAGTTTAATTAAGGAAAACTACAGTGACAAGTCAGTGTACATAAAAACACTAATACTTCACTTTTATGCATTATTTACATTTTAAAGAGTATTACTCCACTATATTTAAAGGAGATTTGTTATACATTTAACTCCACTGCATTTTTTCTGGCACATTCATTTTATGAGCAAATAAACTGCAAATTTAAAATGAGTGAATCATAAGTTAAATAAATAAATAAATAAATAAAAATAAATAAACAAACACAAAATCACTAACTATTCAGGTCAAAAGAAATTCATATTAGCATAAATGTTATATCTAAAATTATGAAATATATATTTCCTATTTACTGTGTTTCCTATTTAAGTGTTTTAGTACTTTTTAGTAAGAATATACAGGTATTTTTAGTCCATCATTGCCGAGCATAAACAAATATAACCACTATAAGATGACCAAACTCTGTCGGATCAATTATTGTCTAACCGGAAAGACATACACTTACCGTCCTGTGTCGGTGATCCTGGACTGTTCATAGCCATGTTGCAGGTCTGAGGACAGTTGGTGACTGTCAGGGCACAAAATCCGCTCTTGGCTTTGTCCAGGCTTAAATCACAGAGGGTTGGAGCAGTTAATACCATGCCTACTTGAGAGGAAACTTATGGCCAGGCTGAACTTGAACTAATTGCCAGGAATGTTTGTCCTGGTTTAGTAACAAGTGAAGTCCATGACAAATTCCAGATTCAAACTTTAGCTAACTGTAAATAGTGAATAATAATTTTTAAAAAATCATTCTGAAAAGCTCTCAATAAGATTCCCCTCAAAGAAAATCAAAAGTTAAAAGTTAAAACACAATCTCTTCAATATAAGACTTGAACCAAGGACATCTCATCCCCTGGTGCAGTATGATGTGGGATAGTGTCTCGTTACACTATTCACCTGTTAAATATCTCTGTGATTAAATATTAAGGCAGTCTGTGCCTGCTTTTCGTGGAACCCTTACCCCAACTTCGAGGAAATACACTATGTCACAGACTTTATTTGGCTTGATTAGGCTCTTTGACTGACATATGTGCACTGAGGTTTTATTGGTCAGCATGGCTAATTAGTCAGAGTTACATGATACTACTACACTTTAGGAATATTAGAAAGCCTGTGAAACACAAGCAGTTTATCAGAAGACTATCACAAGGTTTTATAACAAAATATATGGTGCACCGAACAAAGTTGAGTTAACATACAGTATGTGATCATATATCAAACACCCCGAAATATTTTCATTTATCCCTACTACCTTACCATTTAAACATCTCACCTCTCCACCATTCACAAATGCTTTATGAAAAGGCTGTTTATATAAGTTGATTTTACTTTTATTTTTAATTCATTTTCATTTTACACTTAAATCTACCATCTAGTCACATCCAAACCAGCAGTAAATAATGGCAAATATGAAAGTGAAATGTAAAAATAAATTTATTCTTAAAAAGCTCACCCACACAGCTTGGCAGATGCTCTCGATTCAATTGATTTCCCCTTGGAAACAAGAATGGGGGGGAAAAAAGCTACATTTTAACTCTTCAAAAGCAGGGGTGCCAACTGATCCTGAGCATCCTCTTCATTTTTATACTAGGGTTCCATTTCACAATGGTGGACCCCACGAAAGGAGCTGTTAACTGGTGAGGATTAAATTACAAAAAAGAGCTTCAAGTCCATTTCTATGTACAAGATTATTTGAGCAGTAACAAACAATGTGATCATATATGAAATGCACAAAGGACAAAACTAATATTAGCTCAGCTTTATACACATTATTAGTTATATTATATAGCCTACTAGAAAAACACATGTTTAATCCTTTCTGCTATCTGTATCTAATCCTAAAAGCCCAGGACTGTATAGCCAAACTCACTACAATTCTGAATATACAACATTATTAGATAATTCGTTTATAAAATATTTAATTCTGTAGGGTGTTGTCAACATTTTGGTACTTGGAATTTTCCAGAGATGGTGTGTATTGAGATTAGGGGGGTCTTTGGCTCCCTCAAGGGGAAAGAATATGGAAGTGTTTGGTTTACCCTCACAAATTACATTGGAATGTTGTGGATGCCATGCGGCTCCACTGCAGTGTACACTGCGCACACCTTGGGGAAATTCACACTCAGTGGAAATCACAATAGTTGTAGAGTGGTTTTTGCACTTACTGTAGAGTTCATGTCAGCCTGGATATTCTCCTCGGATCTCTCTCATCACCCAGGCATTTCTTTCAGAGAATGGGATGTTTTTTTGTTTTCTGTAACATTCTGTGCAAATTCTTTTCACACCAACCCGGGAAAAGTCACTGAGATCCCCCACCTGACCCAACCATTCAATGTTTGATATGAATATATATACACATATATATGGCTGGTGGCTCAAAGGCCCTAAGTGATCGCTTGTACCATTGCCCTGATCAATAGAGTTTTTATTTTAAGATGCTATGTTTTCTTAGCGTGTTTTATTAGAATATCAAAGAACACCGTTCTTATTTGCCTCTTCAACATGCAAGATTTTTAGCGTCCCCTGAGGTGTCACATACAGACAAATCTGCTTCTGATTGGTTCTCCTGCGGCAGCTCCACCCTGACAGCACCTGCTCATAACCTACACCTGGTTTTTCTGTCTCTTGTCTGTGGGCTTATTAGGACTCTCCTAAACAATCCATGTGGTTTAGCGACTTACTCTTTTAGTAGTTCTATTCATTGTTGTACCTCATTCTCATCACATCCTTCTCCTTTATTTCAATTTAATTTCCTGTGTAACATTTATCAGTGTCAACGCTCATGTGTATAAATGCCTATAATTTACATTTTTTTGGAACATAGGTCCTATTATTATTTGTCTGGAAATGTTTGTTTTTCTCAATTACATTTCAAGACTGGTCCAATAAATATAACATAACATAAGTCACTGGCACAATCTGGACCTGTGAATAGAGCCACCAGAGATGCCGCAGATACATTTCAGCACAGAT